GCAGTAATGTGTAAAGCGCCTGAGATATTAGGTGGCTCCGCGCCGCCCGGTATTACGCCTGCTAAATACTGACTGCGCGAAAACTCGCAAACGTTTTTAATTTTCTGAATAAATTCAGTAAATTTTTTCTTTCAATTAATATCTCTCCGTAGTTTTTTCATTTAATAAAGACAAAAGAAAAAAACAATTTTTGTCTTTTAAAGTTTATATTTTTTCGTATTTGACTCGGAGATTATTGAGAGTTTAAAGTGGAAAATGAATGCCATTTTAAACATGTTTGATTTTAATTTTTAAAATAAATTAAGTTAATTTATCAGTAATCTTTCTCAGTGCTTTATTCTTTTGTTTTTTAATTTGTAACATGCTTTCTTTACCTGTATTTTTTTTTTTGTTTTGTTTTTAGTGCCAGAAAAAGTTGTCGTCTTCTGAGGATTTTATAAATGAAATAAAATTTTTCACTATCAACAAGTTATCGGGGACCGTTGCTTGAAAAACTAGGAAGAAAAAACGATAAAAGTCTGAAAAAAATAATTTTGTTCGTATTTCTTTACATGTACTTTCTCATCTTTCTTCTCACTAACCGTCAATAGTATTTCATTGAGTGTACACAACAACAGGATAATAGTGCTTAAAAAATTACAGCTATTTATTTTTAAGGAGCCAGCAAGAGAAAACAGTGATTTGTTTATAATAAATAGTAAGGAAAGACGAAAAAACGGAAGAAAAGAAAACAAAATTAAAATTGTAACTATATTTATGCATATTGAAAGCGCAGGAAAAAAGGATTTATGAAGGACAAGAAAGAATAGAAGAATGAATAAGAAAATGATTATGTTGCCAATTTACCGACTAAAGGTCAACAAAAGTTTGTTAGCAAAATAATTTGAGCAATTAATTTTTTGTTACTGCTGCTTTATCACTCTTTTTTTTGTCAACAATTTCCTTTTCTTCTGCTTAGAAAACCACCTAAAATTGCTTAGGTTTCAAATATTTGCTAAAAGAAGAAATTTTTTAACGACTTTTTGAAGAATAAAAATTACTTCTTATATTCGAACTTCTCTTCGGTTGCAAAGAAAAAATTAGTCTTAGGGAGAGAAAACAACCAATTTAGTTTTAGGGAACAGTGATCAGCAACTAGTCAAGCGTTTTTCAGTACACACTAACAAAAGCGATCAGACTATAAAAACCTTTAGAAATATGATTGCTTTAAATTGTGTTCAGCGAGCTTAAAGCTAGAAAAAAAAAACTATTGTTTAGTAAAAATAATAAAGAACTAAAAAAAAGATCGTGTCATTTATTGTTCATTTTATTTGATTTAAAACTTGTTATCTACGTTTTTGTTGCTGTTGTTTCTCTTGCTCCTTGTTTCGTATTTTTGTTGTCCCCTACTTTCTGTTCTATTTGAAGGTATATCTATATGTCCAAAACAATGATCTTCATCAACTGTGCTATCAATCCAATTGTCTACAATTTGATGTCAGCAAAATTTCGAAGCGCATTCTCACGACTTTTACACGCCAACTCGAAGGCCATCTATGAAAGTGAGCAGTCTGTTGGCTCGGTTAATCACTGCTTTTGCAGTTCTTTAATGCCTCGCTTCCGTATTTCTGCGACATGACTTTTTGCTTCGAAAACCACACTTTTTTTTCGCTTAATGAAAACTGCAAAATTGTTCACTTCTCACCTATATAAAAAATTGACAGCAATAATGTCTTATAGCATTGGTAATAGAGCTAAGTTAAAGAAGGAAAAAATGAAAAGACGGAAAAAAAGAATCTGAACACAATCAAGCTAAAATGATTCCTAGACTGATGTTCCTTTCTGAAATTGTAGTTGTTCTTGGCACTGTCAATATCTTTTCAATATAAATCAGCTAACACAATGAATAAGCTAATTTTCAAGCGTTACGCTTAGATAAGTTTTTTTAACAAGAAAAAAGCAGAAAGTTTAGTTTCCTTTTATATTTTATAGCATTAAATGACATCAGTAATGCTGTCATTAGTTTCTAACTAAAATGTTCAAAAATTGGCTTTTTGAGCAGCAGGTAAATTGGTTACTGTTGTGTAGCAGTTGACTGAGCTTATTAAAAACTTTGTCTAGATTTTCTACTAAAGATTAACCTGCAATTGCAGAAGCTACCCGAAAAAGTAAGGCGATGAAGTTGATGTGTCGAAGCACCGATACTGAAAGGTCTTTTCAAGACACAAAAACTGTTGAAGCGTCTATTCTGTTATCGTAATCGACTAGCTAAGTACGATTTTCTTGTTATCATTGGGAACGGTTTGACCAATTTTTGGTTATGTACGTTGTAAAATTGAAGAAATGTATCAAGTTACACAAAGTTTTGTTTTTGTTGTTGTTCTTTTCTTCTCTGTTATATGCATGTGATATTTTTGCATAGTAAAGTAGAAAATGGAGATGATGATACTGCTATTGCCGTTGCTGCTGAGGCTGATGGTGTTGATGGCGCCAATGATGATGATGATGATGATTAAAGTGGCAATGGCGATAGCGGTAATGGCAAAGAAGAACTGCTTTTTTTCTCCGCTGAAATAATGATCAGCAAACAGAATCACTTTGTCATCCGATACATCTTTCTTCCAACTCTCTTCACTGCTTTCTATTTTCCCTGGCTTATGTAAAAAAAATAAAAGTTGGAAAGAAGGCTGAAAGAAAAATAAAACTGAATTGTGTATATGTTGTGGTTTTGTCGCTCAAAATTAGATTATTAACAAAGTTTTAAAAGTCACAAAAAAAAGTTTTTCAACTGTTTTTTTCACACTGTTATTTTCACTTTTCTTTTTCTATTTTTGTGTTTTATTTTGAGTAAAATAAGTAGCATTTTTTGTCTTTTCTCATTCTACTAAAGTACGCTAACGGAGGGGATAAGTATTCAATAAAAAAAAACACTGTTTTACTTTTCAGCTTCCATAATTTTTCAATTACATATGTCGGGTTTCGTTTGGCTTCTACGTTTACACGCATCAGTTATTCGTCTTTTTTTTTTTTAACTATTAATGTTGTTATTAGCAATCTTATTGCTACTGCTATTACTACTATTACATTCTTTCTTGGAATAATACTATTATTGTCATTATTTTTAGTGCTATTACTGTCTGCATTGTTTTGGTCTACGATAAGCTTTAAATGTATTTCCATTTGTTGGAAATTTGTTACCATCTATGATTAAGCTTCGTTTCAAATTGGCACTACAAAAGTCGCCAGTGTCACTTACTTATTTTATTTTATTTTCCACATCTTTTTGCCATTTTTTCTGTTGTTGGTTTACAGCTTCTCTAACATTTGCATCTTACATATGCGATTTCTAAATGTCACTCAGCTGATGGTGACGCAGCAGGGAAAAAGAAGAGCAAAAGCAATATAAGTTAAAACCAAAAACTTAGTAAGCCAAAAAAAAAA